AGTCCTATGGCCCCTTTAGCTGGTGTCCTTCTTTGTGTGTCTCCCATTGGTTGCCTCTGAGCCACATGGGGTGCAGGCAGCTGTCCCAACCGCTCCCCTGTGCACGTGGGAGTCCCAGCTCTGTGTGAAGAGAGGAGGGAGGACTGGGTGTTACTGCAGAGGGCCCGGGAGTCAGGACTCCTGGGTTCTGTTACGGGCTCAGTCCTATGGCCCCTTTAGCTGGTGTCCTTCTTTGTGTGTCTCCCATTGGTTGCCTCTGAGCCACATGGGGTGCAGGCAGCTGTCCCAACCGCTCCCCTGTGCACGTGGGAGTCCCAGCTCTGTGTGAAGAGAGGAGGGAGGACTGGGTGTTACTGCAGAGGGCCCGGGAGTCAGGACTCCTGGGTTCTGTTACGGGCTCTGCCCTGGCTCACCTGGTGTAAACCATGTGTCTCCGTGACTCAGTTTCCCCCTCTGTAAAATGGGGCTTATTTGGATGACTGGTTGTCCCGTGCTCTGAGGTGCTGCGCCGTAAGGGGGCGTGCTTGGCGCTGTGCAGCGCTGCTCTTCCTGAGCCTTGCCTGTGCTTGTCTCCGCCTGTCCAGGCTGAGCCGGGTGCTGGAGGAGAAGCAGGAGGTGGAGACGGCTCTGCTCAGGCTGCAGGCGGAGCTGAAACTCTGCAGCAAGAGCAGTGCCGGGAAGGAGGTGAACATCCTGAAGAAGATCGTGCAGAGCCTGGAGGAGGAGCTGCTGAAGGAACGAACCAAGCACCAGCGCCTGGCCAGCAAGCGCCTGCAGGAGAACCGGCAGCTGGCTGACGAGGTGCGGTCGGGAGCCCATGCCCTCCTGGCTGGGCCGTGGCACCCGGGTAACCCCTCCCGCCCCATCAGGGGATGATGTAACAGCATTGCCCTGGAGGAGTCCTCACCCAGCCTGGCCCTGGTGTAACAGCCCCCTGCATGCCGCTGACGGGACCCAGCGCTGCTGTGACAGTCCCTTTTCACTCCCCTCCCCAGCGCTGGCGTGATATCAGCCCTTGCCCACACCTGCCCCAATAGATGAGAAATCAGAATTGCTCAGCTGTGGAGTTAGTGCTAAAGACAAAGCTCCATAGTGAATCTGAAGGGGAGAAGAACCTTAGAGGAAGCAGCATGTGAGGAAAATGGGGCCTAGTGGTTAGAATCAGAACTTCCGGGTGGTATTTCCAGCTCCGGTGTGGTTAGAGCAGGGGGCCTGGGAGCTTGGACTCCTGGGTTCTAAACCTGACTCTGCCACGGGCTCCTTGTGTGCTGTCGGCAAACGGCTACCACGCTCTGTGCCTCAGTTTCACCCTCTGTGAAGTGGGGATGACCCCTGCTGCAGAGGGTTGGGGTTGCGGAACTGAATTCTTAGAGCTGGTTTTAAAAAGAGGCGAGAGCGCTGGCCGAGATCACGAAAATCTTGTCAAATGCTGCTGTTTTTTAAGTGACGTTTGAAATGTCAATGTGAACAGCTTTCACAGCTGAAAAATGCAGCAAGACCCAATGCTGGGCGGTGCTAGACGAGGGTCAGTAACACAAGGGCTGTCAAACGCAGTTAGCGCCAGCGTAACTGGATTAAAAAACCACAATTACTTGCTGTTTTACTCACACGGTTAAACAGGAATCGAATAGCCATTGAAATGTGTTATAAATGTTAGGAATTTTTTGTACATTTTCTAATGCACGGATTTCAGTTGCAACGCAGAATACAAAAGGTACAGTGCTCGCTCGATATTAGTATTTGCAATACAAACGTTTGCGCTATAAAAAGAGAAACAAAACAAATAACGTTTTTCGTTTCACATCATACAGGTAAATGTCGTGCAATCTCTTTGTGAAATTGCAACTTACACATGTAGATTTTTTTTTACTGTAACTTCACTCAAAAACAAAACCATGTAAAATGTACATGGGAGTCCCCAGCTGACCTCGGGCTCTGTCTGATAGAAGCAGCAAGTGGGGTGGGGGGGAGAGAGAAGCGACTAGTCAAATATCCTGACTAATCTTTAACATCCTTAGATTGGTAGGCTCTGAAGTTTTACATTTTTATTTTTGAGTACAGTTTAGTTTTTTTTTTTTTTTTTTAAGCCTACATTTGTAAGTGGTGTTTTCATGATCGTACTACAGTACTTGAATGAGTTGAACTGAAAAAATACTATTTTTAACTCTTTTTACACTGCAAATCTAGCTACATAGTTTCGAAATGTGCGCCTGTCTGTTCATTTGTTCGAGACCTCCTAAACAATAAGAGCTAGAGCGACGAGGAGTCCTGTGGCACCTTATAGACTAACTGAAGTGTAGGAACATAAGCTTTCGTGGGCAAAGACCCACTTCGTCAGATGCATGTAGTGGAAATTTCCAGAGGCAGGTATAAATATGCAGGCCAGGATCAGGCTGGAGATGACGAGGTGGATCCAATCAAGGAGGATGAGGCCACTTCTAGTAGCTGATCTGGAGGTGTGAATTCCAAGAGTGCAGAAGCTGCTTTTGTAGTTAGCGAGCCATTCACAGTCTTTGTTTAATCCAGAGTTGATTGTGTCAAACTTAAAGATGAACTGTAGCTCAGCAGTTTCTCTTTGAAGTCTGGTCCTGAAGTTTTTTTGCTGCAGGATGGCTACTTTTAGATCTGCAATTGAGTGTCCAGGGAGATGTATATGATTTGTAGTTGTTCTGAAATTAGATCCAGATTATTGCTGGAATGAGTTTATTCCTGGAGGTTCTCAAGGCACACCAGTAAGTGTGTACAAGGCCAGCCAGGTGGAGGCACCACCATCATTTTTTTTTACGAGCAAGGGACTGCAGCAAGGGTGTGGATAGGGTTTTCACCAACTAAACAACATCACCCCTGGGGTGCTCAGAATCTCCTTTTATGTTAAAACTGTCAGGTGCCCAGGCACACCTGTGAGTGTGACCTGCTCCCGAGTAACCCGGGGAGGAAAAAGGGGGTTACGTGTGTTTGATACTTGACACCATGCAAGGCACTGCATTTAGCCGTATGGAGTGGAAATCTATCAACCTCATGAAGAAACTTGCACAAGTACAAACAGATATCATCTTTCTCTCCAAATGCAAACGGATGGACATTATACCAAATGGACTGAAGGTGAGAAATCCATTGCTATCTACATACTGCACAGACTACAGTGAGAGATTATGCCATATAAACAGATTCAGACTAACACGGCTACCCCTCTGATACTTAAATAAGAGCTAGGACTCCCAAACTTGGTAGGCAGCTTCCTCTTCTCCTAACTTAAAGTCAGAGCTTGGTTGTGACAGGACAACGGGATGTGCCTGGAATTTGATTGTTTCTCATAAAATGGAAAGGGAGGGGGTCTGTTAGGAGGGAGTTATACCGTGGAATGACCACAGGGGGGCAGTAAATACCCCAGCGGGAAGCCACTGATTGGCAGCAGCTCCCACCCTGGCCTGACCAGCTGCCAGCCCCTGCCTGCTCCTGGCATGTGCCCCACCCTCCCGCCATGGACCGGGCCTGGGAAGAAGCCTCGGCCAAAGCTGGCAGCTGGGGTGCACAGCCTCACAGCCCTTCATCCAGGCCTGGGCAATGCTGGATAAGGCTTCTAGTATTTGTAATGAAAAGATTGTAAAGTGAGCACTGTACACTTTGTATTCGTGTTGCGATTGAAATCAATATGTTTGAAAATGCAGAAAGCACCCACAACATTTAAATAAATGATATTCTTTTATTGTTCGACAGATTAAAACGTCAATGAATTGCAATTCATTTTTGTAATGGTTTGATGGCCCTGGTAATAATTAACGTGAGATCTTACAAAGGACCATGCGCCCAAAGATTCCAAGCCAGGTGGCTCTCTATACAGGGTTTGCCTGCCCACTACCGAAATGCAGCCACCTCTGGGGTGGAACGTGGCAGCTGTTTAACACGTCACAGCTCCCCAGTCCAGGAAGCGATGGCGAATGTTGCTGGCAATCAGCTAGCCCTGCCCTGATGCCGCCGTGGGGCTGGGTTGTAAGACCGCCTCCTGTGCCAAGGGGAAGGAGTTGCCTGGGCCGGTTCCGTAGCTTGTCCAGCGCCCGAGGGAATGAGTTTTCTTCCTCTTCCTCGCAGCTGGCAGAGGTGAAAGCATCAGAGAGGAGCCTCCGGGTCCGCGTGAAGAGTCTGACCAATGAGCTGGCTTTATACAAGAAAGGGTGAGTGACTCCAGCTGCTCTGGGAGCAGACGGGGTAGAAGCGGCTGATTTTCATTCCCCTGTCTAAGGAGCGCAGCCCCCTTGCTGTTCCGTGAGCCCCTTGCTACGAACGGAGAGCTGGTTCAGAGGAAAGGACAAACCCCATCATGCATCTGGCTAGTTGGGTGCTGCTGGCCTGATCCTTTCTGCGCTCTGCAGGGGTTGCCGTAATCCCTGACGCTTGGGATCTCCTGGTAGGGGACCGGGGACTGGGGATATCAGTCCTTAACCACAGCCATCTCGGAGGATCAGTGGGGCTTCTGCAGGGCAGAGCCAGCCCGGGTAGCTGCCTCTTTCTGATGGCCCTAGGGGCACAGTGTAGGCGGACAGCCTGACCCTAGGCAGCCCACGCAGGGGGTACTGAGTAGGAGGGTGCGGCAGTGCTCCGGCTGGCCCCAGCATGGTTCTGGCGCCCGCGCTTCTGAAAGGAGGTTGCCGGCTTGGACGGGATTCAGAAAGAGCCACGAGGAGGAGCCGAGGGCCGGAAAACCTGCCAGGAGCCTGGGACGGGATCTGTTGGTTTATCTCCGAGAAGGTTGGCAGGTGGGCTGTCCTGGTTTGTCAGCACCGCGCTGGGCAGGTGTGACGGTTCTGGGCACCCCCGTGGCTCGTGAGCTGTACTGCTGCTAACTCAGGGGTGAGCAAAGGGCCGGATCTGGCCGCCAAGTGGGTGGATCCGGCCCGTGGAGGCCCTTCTGCTCCCCTGCCCCCAGGCTAATCAGGGCCTAGGGATGGGGTTATGCACGGTGCTTAGAGTCAACCCTAGTGCCATGTGCCGGAGGGCAGGGAACAAGAGACTTCACTCTCCCCTACCCCAGGCCAATCAGGGCTTGGGGGTGGGGGAAAGTGCACAAAATCAACTCCCACTCTGCTTCTGCCCTGCAAGGAGTACGTGGTGCTTAGAAGCGCCGTGCGCTCCTTGCAAGATGGGCCAATCATGATTTGGGGGTGGAGCAGCCCCGCCCCTTCCTGTTTATGCCCCACCCCCTCCAGGGTGGCCTGGGGCTACTTCAAAATTTTTTGAAGTGGCCCCCGGGCAAAAATTATTGCCCACCCCTGTGCTAACCCATGTGAGCTCCCTGATCCACCAGCAACCCCCCAGGCTCTGTCAGTGACCCACTGTTCCCCAATACCTCACTGCAGCGCCCCTTCCTTCTTCCGGGGCAGCAAACCCTCTTTCTCGCTCCACGCTCTGAGCTGAAAAGGAGAAAAGCAAAACAGGTGCATTAAGCAAAGGACACAGGGTTAAGTGACGCCAAAGGCATAAAGACCGAAATGGGACACGCAGCAGGGAGAACACCCTTCCAGGGCTCCAGCAACTCGTGTCTTGATTCAGAAACGTTTTCTCGCCCGTCTTCCTTCCCTCCCAGGGGGCTGAAGAACCCTTGGAAATACGGGCTTTGCAGAGGAAGCCTAGGCACAGTCTGTCTGCTGGGGCAGAGATGCCAGACTCTTGTCTTCCTGCTTGGTGTCTTGCTCGCTTTCCCAAATACATAAGTGAGCCTTTGTCATCGCTGCCTGTCCAGGACAGACCGGGGTCTGCGTTGCTCGCCAAACGCATTTCAGGGACGTCCTTCCCAGGCACGCTGAGAACTCGCTGTCCGCACCCACCACGTCCTGGTTCCCAGGACCAGCCTGCTACCAGTTTGCACGCGATGGTCTGGGCCGGGCAGTTTCAGGAGCTCCCCGAGCAGCGAGCCGCCCGTGGGCCGGTGTGGCCCACGCTGATTTCTGAGCACAGAGGCTCTTCTGTCCAGCAGCCAGCGGCAGGGCGAGATCAGTGGCTGTAGCTGAAACGAAACGGATCCAGGCTTGAACTAAGGTGTTTAGGGAGGGGAATTGATGGACCCGGTGACGGCTGCGGGGACAGCTCCGTCACTTGGAGTCTTCCCCTGATCGCACAGCTCCGCTCTAGCTCGACTGTCCGATCTGGGCTGGCTGTGGAGGTGACGGGGCATTTGATCCGCGTGGGCCCGTCTGGCCGTCACACCTAGGACTGACCGCGCTCTCCTGTTTCTCCAGGCGCTTGACCCCCACCGGCCCGTCCCCTCAGAACCGCTCGGCGTCCTCGCGCGGCTTCAGTCACGCGGCCCCCAGCCGGAGC